GACATATTCAAGAGAAATAGAACTCCCATATGTACAAAGTGCTTGGAGCCAAAACCGAAACTTGCCTATGCAATCTGCTTAAGCGTTGTGCCTTCTCCAAACAGCAGCATTTTGGCACCTAGAACCAAAAACATTCTCAGAACTTTGTAAAGAAAGAATCCCATTCAAATGAGGAAAGAAACTCAAAAAATTTCAATCACAATGTTCCCTCTATTGCTTGCGACAAATGTTCAAATTCTTTTTTGGGAACATATGTGGGGAAAAAACAGACAACACATTGAATAATTTAGTTAAACTGCATGCAAACCATAATCATGCACATTATCGTTACTTGTAAAACCTAACTACTAAGATAGAAATTCCAATTGAACAAAAAAAGATATAGAAATTCAAATTGAACAAAAAAAGATAAAGAAAACGAGCTTCCGTTTCGTTCCTTCCCTTAGACGGAGCACAAATACAAAAAAAATCAACAAGTAAGCCCTCCCCGGAACTCTTCAGTAAGGAGGGAGGGCCTAACAAAGTAAAGAAAATGAAAAACTCACCAATTTCAGCAAAAAAAGGCTATGAGTTGCATCCCCCGTCGCGAGTGCCCGAACCCGCGAGATCGGGCTTTCCTGCCCGTCCGGGCTGGGCGCCCGCGAGTTTCATACATCATGGATCGGGCGCCCGCTCCCGCCAGGGCGTTCATTTCCAATGGTTAAGGAGCGCCCGGGCGCGGTTCGGGAGATTGATACATACCGGCCCAGTATGTGATTCGAACTTGCATTTACCCTATTTTCAGGTGAATAAACCGCACCCTTTTCACTCTAAAGGCGAACACGCCAAAAGACTGATTGTAATCATGGAGCGCGTTAAGTGAGAGCAGTATGCGAAAAGGCGACCGTTTCGCGAGACATATGCGCATCGGCACGCCTGGGTCTGCTCGCGTTTAGAGCGAAAAGGGTGCGGCTTATACACCTGAAAAATATACAAAAAAGTATTCTCCACCTTTGTTGGAGAATACTTTTTTCTTCCCAAAGTCACCGGTCTTGCATGAAATAGCTTCCGGAATGAGTAGTTGTTTACAATTCATTTGCGGTAATCGGCATCGCGCGGTAAGTTTCATAGTCATTATTTTGCGGCTGCTACGAGGAAGGCATGTGAATAATAGAATCGTCAAGCCTTTGCGAAGCAGAAATGACGCACTAGTCTTTCTGCTTCGCAGAGGCTCGCACTGGTTGTACTATCTATGTACCTTACTCATTCTCCCAAAATCGCGGCAGAAATCACTGCGCTATGCCGACCACCACGAATAAAATGTAAACAACTACTCATTTAGAAAACTTTTTCACTTGAGATCGGTGATTTCGCGTGGATGAAACTTTTCGCAGGAAGACAAACGCAAATTTGAACAGTCTATTGAACCTGTCATGGCTTAGTAGTCGCCATAAGGGCAATAGTCACCGTGAGCTACATCATTGTGCCAAAATCTTCTCAGATACTTGGCTAGAACCTTGACAAATTGACCATCTACGCAACCAATTCTTTTGCCGCCGTTTTCGTCATGTAGTAAACTTTTGACCACTTTTCGGGCTAAAGTCCATCGCTTGCACATTTGTTTACCAAACACATCCACGAGTTTGCAGAGTGGTGACACGGACCCAATTTTGCGGGACAGAAGCCAGGTGGATCCGTTTGGCGCGCAATTTCTGAGTGATTCACTCAACAAATCTACTCGTGCTTTCGCATGTTGGACTTTTATGAAGGTAGCATGCGCTATGCAAAATTTGGGTTTAGAACGCTGGCTGGAACACGCTGTACAAATTTTATAACAGACGAACACACACATAAAAACACGTGAACAATCCTTAGCCCAACGTTTCGGCAGTGATTCGCCTTCTGCAGAGCCTGAAATGGGCGAAAACAATTTACAGACTACCCGATCAAACATTTACTCAACCCTACAGGCAAAATTCTAAGCTTTCTCTCGACCACGAGCAGGCTGCCATACGCAGTACTCACCTTTCGTTCGCCGGTAAAGTTCTGGTATAGTATGAGCGACTTACTGACCGCTTGAACAAGGAACTAAACATGTCTTCACATGATCAAAAGATCTGATTAAGATACGGTGCGAGTTCTCGTGTGATAGAAAGACACTCTTCTTTGCGGTTCATTTTAGGGTTTCTAAAATGGATCCAAAAGGCTTCTAGGGTTTTGCGAGTGGATGTTTGAGCTTCGCGCGCTAAAATCTCTACTTTCACTCCAAAATCAACTCCTTGATGATCTTGCACTCTGTGGGCGCCCAATGGAGTGGATGTGCGTAATCTCTTTTTACCATTAAGACGTTCCTTGATACGTATGCTCAGAGGGTGTGCCGTTTCTCCGATGTATTCGTTCCCGCAATCCTTGCATTATATGAGGTGCTCATGCAGTCTCCCTCCCTTGCTGTTGGACATATCGGGCAGTTCGGAGTAGGGCAACTGCGGTCACACATACGATTCCGAACAAGGATACGTTTCTTGTTCGGAAGTATATCTACTACCGAAACTGAATTGTCTAGTCCTGCTCTCCTCAGATACCGCCGAATGGCGGTGCTCACTTCATCGGAGATGAAGGGTATGCAGAAGGGTATCTTTTCTCTACGGACGCTCTTGCTCTCTCCACAATCTCCCCTGCTGGCTCTTATCCCGCGTCATGTTGTCATAATCGTTCAGTGAAGCTATACTACGCGCAACGGCTAGTGACTCCATCTTTTCCTCGCGACCGCTACAGACCTTCGCAGCTGTGCGAAACATGTTTCTGATCACAGCTTTTTTAGTTTGTAAAGGATGTGCTGAGCGGGAGTGGATAAGGATGTTCTTGTTACTGGGTTTTCGAAACCACTTCGTTTTCTGGGTGCCACTGGCAGTGCCGACTTGAACGTTCAAAAAAGGCAGCCATGCGTTTTTGGGTTTCCCCCGAGTTAGTCTTATGTGTTCTGATTGTCTGTTCATCAACTCGAAGCACTCATCAACTTCCGCCTGTGTGTTGCAAATGATAAAGCAGTCATCGGTGTACCTGCAATAAAGCAGGGGATGCAACTGCAACAGGGGTGTCTCGATTTTAGCCATAAAAATTACCGCTAGGGTTGGAGCCATTCGCTGACCCATAGCCAATCCTCGAATTTGAGCGAAATATTTTCCTGACCACCTGAATATATTGCATTCTAGAACGCTTTTAACAGGGGCCATTATTTGCGCGATAGATAGTCCAAAAAGTCTTATGGCTTGTTCATGTTCTATCAGATTTTCAAAAACGGCTTGCAATGCATTGGATACATTCGTGTACAACGACTCCATAGCATGATTAGCACAAACACGTGTCTCACGTAGACGGTCTAGAAACATCTGCGTATTGCTTAGATGGGAAGGGATGAATTGAAGTAGCTGTACTAGGTTTTTATTGAGATACCATCCGATTCTGTGGGTCCACCCACAACTAATTATTGGTCTGACTTTGAAAGTTGCGGGATCATCAGGTGCGAAATTGCGTTCGGACTGGATTTTATGCGTCTTGATTAGAAGGTAAAGTACGGGCAGATTGGCTGATCATTTTTAAGGCGGCTGACGATATCGGGCGCTAAGTTTGCTGCCTTCGCTGTTTTTGTCCATTCTCCATTCAATTTGCGATATTGCTTCTGATACTCATCTTTTGTAGACAGTTTGTACAGAGTGGCATCTTAAAGATGTCTCTCTGTTATTGCGATACAGGACTAGACAATTCAGTTTCGATAGTAGATATACTTCCGAACAAGAAACGTATCCTTGTTCGGAATCGTATGTGTGACCGCAGTTGCCCTACTCCGAACTGCCCGATATGTCCAACAGCAAGGGAGGGAGACTGCATGAGCACCTCATATAATGCAAGGATTGCGGGAACGAATACATTGGAGAAACGGCACACCCTCTGAGCATACGTATTAAGGAACGTCTTAATCGTAAAAAGAGATTACGCACATCCACTCCATTGGGCGCCCACAGAGTGCAAGATCATCAAGGAGTTGATTTTGGAGTGAAAGTAAAGATCTTAGCGCGCGAAGCTCAAACATCCACTCACAAAACCCTAGAAGCCTTTTGGATTCATTTTAGAAACCCTAAAATGAACCGCAAAGAAGAGTGTCTTTCTATCACACAAGAACTCGCACCGTATCTTAATCAGATCTTTTGATCATGTGAAGACATGTTTAGTTCCTTGCTCAAGCGGTCAGTAAGCACTCGCTCACACTATACCAGAACTTTACCGGCGAACGAAAGGTGAGTACTGCGTATGGCAGCCTGCTCGTGGTCGAAAGAAAGCTTAGAATTTTGCCTGTGGGGTTGAGGAGATGTTTGATCGGGTAGTCTGTAAATTGTTTTTGCCCATTTCAAGCTCTTAAGAAGGCGAATTATTGCCGAAACGTTAGCCTAAATAAATAAATTACCAATCTCGGTTGTGGCTAAACAGTCAAATAGTAGCAGAGATTTATTCATCATGCCGAGATTTATAGAAAGTCGAACTTTCCGATTGATCCTTAGCCCGTTGTTATAAGGTCTTGAAGCTGAATGTGTGTGTGTGTGTGTGTGTGTGTGTGTGTGTGTGTGTGTGTGTGTGTGTGTGTGTGTGTGTGTGTGTGTGTGTGTGTGTGTGTGTGTGTGTGTGTGTGTGTGTGTGTGTGTGTGTGTGTGTGTGTGTGTTCGAATGGAAAATTCCATTTTTGAACCGATCCGGACCAAACCTGGCACAGATACACTTCTCGGTGAGGCAGGTGTAAGCTATTTCTCGTTATCGATCGATATCATTTCAACATTTTTCTGCAATGTTTAAGCTACGCGCGGAGTTGGCACAGGGACTAAGCATGCTAATTACGGTTATATTAGTGACAGGGCCGGGTGTAGCCGGGTTTTTGCCAGCTAGTAATCATTTATAATGACTGAAGCCGGTTTACTTTTTTGACTACGTATTGCTGCTTGTGATAAGGTCTCCAAATTCATGTATTAAAGTTCCTTCCCGGATTGGCTCCGTTTGGTCGACAGGCAACCGTTGTCCCTCTAATGTTTATAATCGGTTGTTCTGCTGTGAGAGAAATTTATGAAGATTTGGTGAGTTTTCTATATTTTGGAAAAACCACATAATATTTCAATTTTAGCGACGAAGGGTAAGAGACCGCAAAGTGAACTATCAGAAATGTTATGCGCATACCGATAGCGGATGGAGAGCTGTTCCTTGGTGTGAAGTAAGTGCTAGAACACTTTAGCCATTGACGGCAACGGAATTTTGACAAAATCATGACAAAGAATTCAATGATCTGCTTCATCGAAAGCTAACGCTCTTTTCACTAATAATGCTGTTGGCATTGATGTCAAAACTTTTAGTCATATACTGGAAAGAATTTTCGAGAAAGCCGCGGGCAACCTTTGTTCGAAGGCTAGGTTCCTTGTTAGCTTCGAGCGTTTTAAAATAAAAATCCCCATGACTTGCACTCTTATTCCGAATTTCCGTTTATTATCAAACTAGATGGCGTCCTCTGTTCTGCTCGAGAAGAGGGCTCTAATGCCGGTGGAAGGCACCAGGATCCAAAAGCGTCAAAAGTCACCATCTCTTTTCCATATCTCAAAGAAGTGCTTCTGCAATAGGCGCTGACTCGTACCGAATCCTCCTCGCGGCAAAATGTAAGTGATCTTTACCGCCCTGCTTACCCAACTATGATCCAGGAATGATTGATAAGTTTATTTCCGTGCATGTAAGTAAACAAATCAATAAGTCGATTGAAGCGAATCGTCGTGAAAAGTAGCCTTTTGCGCCGTGCCTTATTTATATGGATGCAAATTTCAGCCTTATCGGCTCACAAACAAAAGAGTCTATAAGGTCTCGGACAGAGTTCACGCGATTTGATCGTCGAGATCTAATCGCTACAAGACAACTGTGATGAGTTCATTGCATGCCGATCAGCTTGCATTTCGGTTGTGGTACTTTTCCATCGCGAAATTTTTTAATGTAAAATGAAAATGAATGAAAATCGCGGCGAATTAATCGCGACGATCAAATCGCGTGAACTCTGTCCAAGGACTAAGCCACCTACTTACTAACTAACAAATTTACAAAGTTTGAGTTTCATTTGAGTAGATAAGATGGGACTGAGTCAAATACATGAAAAAAACCACCATTTGCAGAATTGCGTTTAGTGACAAGATTTCTTCAGCAGGAAAAATTCAAAAAAACATCATTCTGGCTTATCGAATCAAAGAAACATTCATGGCAAGAAAATATCCTCTTTGCCACTCTACCTGTAACAGCGAGTTGTAGTACATAGAAAATATAGATGGCAAAAAGTCTTACTTATCCCACGCCCAGCATCTCCAAGCACATGCTCAGGCGTAGATTGGAGCGCAATATCCATCAAAGCTGACTATGTTAATCTATTTATGGCCCATAAAATGAAGCAATGGTGTGACTTGGTGTCTTCGCTATATTATACACTAACTGATTTTCCCGGTCCAGCACGGATCACGTCAGCTGGTCCCTACCCTCCCCACCCCACTCCGCGCACCCCCCTCCCCCTTTCCCACCTACCCGTTATGCTGCGCTGCAAGGGTTTCCTGTATCAAAGTAACTCACACTGTAGGCTCGTCTTGAATTACCGCATCCCTCCTACCGTAAAGACCAAATGAACCCTACTGCTATTGTTTACACCAAATCATGGAATTGACTTCTTAGCCGATCTTGAGAACTCATTCTTATGCCAAAAATCAATAAATCAATAGAATGGCTCAGCAAATCGCCGCAAAAGTAGCGCTAAACCACCTCCGGGGTCGAATACATATGTGTGCAAAGTTTCAGCTGGATCGATTCACGTTCATTGGCGGGCGTTTCTATAACAAACGAACAAATAAACTAACACACTTACAAAGTTTGAGTTATATATATACCAGTGCGTCACCTCCGCTTCGCGGAGGTTCGCACTGGTATATATATAACTCAAACTTTGTAAGTGTGTTAGTTATCTACTCTTTTTACTCTGTTATCCGTATGCCTTATTCATGCTCCAAAAATGATGACTTTGAAACTCACCGCGCGAGGCTGTACATCATAAATGAAATGTAAACAACTGTTCATTCTTGAAGCATCTCCATGTAAGATCGGTAATTTTGAGAAAGAGAACTTTTTTTGCCAAGGAACAAATACGAATTCGAACAGATTATTGAATTTATTTTGGCTTGATAATTGTTATAAAGATAATAGTCATTTTGGGCTATAATTCCATGCAAAAATCTTTTCAGATATTTATGTAAAACCTTGTCAAATCGACTCCCTACGCGATCACTCCTTTTTGGCGCTGTTTTCGCGGAAAAGCAAACTTTTTGAGCACTTTTTGAGGTAGAATTCTTGAAGCACAGATTTGGTTGTCAGGCAAATCAGGACTTTGCAAAAAGTTGGATTTGTGACCTAGTTTTGCGCGCCAAAAGCCAGGTGGACCCGTTTGAGGCGCATTTTTTGAAGGACCCGCTTATCGAACCGGCTCGTCCTTGTGCATGGTGGGCCTACACGCTGGTACGGTATGCTATGCAAAATTGTAGCTCGATAGCTTGGCTGCAGCTGCCTCTATGAATTTCGTGACAGACAGACAAACACACCACACGCACAAAAAGACAGATGTTTAGCGCTTTATTATAAGTCATGATATATTGACCGCCTCAAATAGTACAGTCAAAAAGGTTCAGGACTTATGTAAACTTTCCGAGATTCTTGCTTCGAAGCAACCCATTTGGTCTGGTGATGTTCTCTTGACTCTCAAATCCGAAAGCTGGTATTAAGACACCTAAGTACCCAAACTTTCAAACATAATAAGGTTGCAATATAATGCAATCGTATTTCAAAACTGGTAGGATCAACTTCGCGTTGTAAACAAGCCATTTGCTTATTTTAGCATCTTTTGAATTTCGCGCACTGGTGTAAACTCGCTTTGCAACTTTCCGGATGTTCACATTTTCGACATTCGAAGGAAATTTTATAAAACGAAGATAGAGCAGTGCAATGGTGATTGACATTGGTGATTGATGCCGTTCCAATGCGCTTGCTCATACCTAAAATTCTTTTTTCTTAAAAGCGTTTTCTTCTTTAAAGTTTCTTCGTTATTTTAATTTGAGAAAGTAGTCTGACGATTGTGAGAGCGTCGGAAACTTCAAAAATCTTCTAGTGTATATGATGCTCAATTTCACTAAAGTGATAACGAAAGGAAGACCGAAGTCTTTGAGAAAGCTGGGGAAGTGCAAAGGATATTGCATTGAAAACATTTATCATCATCATCAAATCAAACATTCTGAAGTGTCGGTTTGGAACTTTGACACAACGTTGCCTAAAAAAACTTCTCTACGTAGTTTCGCGCATACGCCAAGCAAAGGTAACACTCTATATGGTAGAGGCGTCATCAATGGTTTGATCTGTGCGGTCCTTCACAAAGGAACGTGCGGCATTCACAATTTTGCATATTTCCGCAGAAAGTCCGCGAGAATGCAGCCACGGCGCCACAACTAATCTGTGAAAAAGCAGAGATTGTTCTCTGAGCGTTCCTCTAAAGAGGGTCCAATAATCTTCCACATATCTGCAAGCCAAAAGCAAGAAATTAGCGAACTATTTTTCTGGTGCACGCTTGCCTCAGGGTCCGGCTTGAGTTTGTCAAAAGAGTTTTTTGAAAACGAATATCCCTTTGACCCAAAAACTAATCCCAATGATTGCGCAGCAAACACTTTACCCATAGAACTTTTATTGAAGAAAAAAACGGTGAAGACGCTCGCCGCCGCAATGGCAGCAGCGCAGTGGCTGCCTTTGCCAAATCCGGGACGTTGTGATGATTTCATGCACGCAAAACCTTGAAAATGCCCTAAACTCTGAGTGTAATGCAATAGGACGGATTACTGATGAAAGATGTAGGAAAGGAAGGTGGGGAAGGAAGAACAGCGTCGCTTCAAAGGTCACATCATCATATGACTCTCTTACTCACAAAGTAGATGAGTAAATGATGTGTAACCCTGTCAATGACAAAAATGGAGTTGATTATGACGCAGTAAAAAGTGAAGGTAAGAGATAGATACAAGAAAGAAAGAGTAGAAATGATGAAAAACGCAAAACACCTGAAAAAGAAGAAAAACTCATTTCATTTCATCCACCTTGGTTATGTCACAATAAAACGCGAGTAAAAGTCAAAAACTTACTGAAAGGGCAGCGCTGTTCATGCACAGTATAAATGTGACATAAATAAACATATTTAGGTTGCACAACAAGCACTAATTAAAAAAAGAGTTTTGACAACGCACATGCCCCTGAGGGAGAGCTAGGCATCGTAGCAACATTCAAAACAGCATGAAATGCATGCGCATTGCATCATACACATGTAAATGAAACAACGGACTCACTTTTTATTCATTTTGGCGAGAACTGAAAAAACGGTGAGAGACCTCGAAAAAAAATAGTCAAAAGCGGCGAAAAGAGTCAAACTTATATAAATGATGAGTAAACAGCATAAAATGAACGCAATTTGCATCATACACAAGTAAATGAAACAACACACTCACCTTCTTTTCAATTTGGCGCGATCTGAACAAAAACGGTGAGAAAACTGGAAAGAGAAGTCAAATGCGGCGAAAAATGTAAACATCATACAAATTGCTATGTAAAAAGTGTAAAACTCATGCATCTTGGGATAAGCACAATCAAATGAAACAAAAAACTCACCTTCTGTTCATTTAGATAGAATCTGACACGAAAATGGTGAGAAAAACTGAAAAAACGCCGATTATAGGACCCAGCGACGCCGTTATTATAGAAGCGCGCTTTCCTCCTTAAAACACGGGGCTGCTGAAGGTATTTTTGGCTTTAGCAATGAGGAGAGGGGGAGGTTTGATTTTGAAAAAATTATGTGAACTGTAGGTTTTGACAACCTCAGGTTGTCATTAGGTTGTCAAATGAAAACCTAATTTGGAAAGAAGTTGGGGCACGCTCTTCCTTCACATAAATTTTCATAATTTTTCATATTTTGTTACTCACGCCAGATCCCCCGCCGTCTGGCTTCTTCTGGTCGCTAGGCGGTCCCTCCCCGCTCCAAGCCCGGGGTCAGCGATCGCCCCGTGGAAATCAAGAGTAGGCCTAGTAAGCCACCTCTTGTAGGGGAAAATTCATATCACTCCTCCAGTTAGAAGATTAGAAAGAAACCCTGCACATCGTATCCCGCCTACGGCG